AATTGTGTTCGAACTTAAATTCTGAGCACCCAGTTTGCAGAAGGCTATGGGTGACAGTGAATACCCAAGATGCATTTGTAGATTCCCCATGCAGACTAAGCCTCCATTGAATTCCTTCAGACCATTGACCAGGACTATGAATAGTCTTGCCCTCAGACAGAGTACATTAGAAAGTGGGTTACTAAAGATATTTTTGGGTTAAAATTTAAACCTCTCCTTATTTGAAGTTTTTCTGTGTTTTATTTTGTTGTTGTTCAGTGTTTTTGTATTGCTTTATATGAAGTCCAAGATAGATAAATCTATAGAGACAGTAAATAGACTAATATTCCCTCAGGGCTATGGTAGGGGAGTTTGGGATTAATTGGGAACTAATAATAATAGGTATAAGAATAAAGAAAATGTTCTAAATTGATTGTGGTAATGGTTTGACAACTCTTTTAAATATGTTCAAACCATTTAATTGTATGGTACATGAGCTATACATCAATAAAACTGTTCCTTTTTAATCACAACTTAGAAAGTCCTATGAAACAGTTCCACTCTCTTACAGAAGGTCACTATACATTGATATTGACTTCATAGTACTTGACAACATGTATCACAATTATTCAAAGGAAAGTCATCCAAGTGGTAGGAAAATGATTAAGTGATAACACTATGCCTATTATAATGGTATTTCATATTATGATGTTATAATGAGATATAATTTGGCCACTAGATGAGTATCATACAAGTTTTTAAGTAATACAAATAATGTTTATGATGCAATGAAAGTGAAATAAAGCAGAATATTGCTTTATAACTACCTAAATGATTATAACTATGCAAAGAATAGGAATACATCTATAGTAAAATCAGACAGGAGCATTGAAAACTCCTACTTAGTTAAAGTGGAGGGATCATGGATGATTTTGTGCACTTGACTTTCATTTTTGACCGTTACAATGCTACTTTGACAATGAATTATAATGTACTTACTGATGTGAAATTTTAAAAATCCTTATTTTCATATATCAGATTTCCAATGAAACAAGTCTAACAGCCTCTGTCTAAAACACACTCTCTTGTACAACCTGGAATGATCCATTACCCATTGTATGATCCCTATGGGGTGGGAAGTAAATGGGGTTGTTCAATCAGAGTACCTGATAATTTCTAATAATTTACCTTTCTTGGAAGGGGCCTATTTCAGAGCCAGCTTCGATAACAGCATGTACTTGAACATCAGCGATGATAGCTGCATTGGGAGTTGATGTTCTTTTGTGCTCCTTTGGTTCGTCCACATTTGTGTGTCTCCAACTTGAGAATCTGTATCCAAAATGGATGTGCCCCAAGTTCATGTAACATCCTAGAATGTACCTGGAGTGTTAACTTTACTTGGCTATGTAAAGAAATCATTTTTGCAATAGAGCAAATAAGCACATGCGGATTAATGAAGGAATAAAAATCTTAAGAGATGAAGCACAAGATGCCAAGGAGTTTGACTCTTCCGGGAGTCGAAGCCATGGTAACCACTCGTCTCTGTTGCACGTGTCCCAGGCCCTTTGGGCACGTGGGTAAGAAAGCACCAACAGGATCATCTCATAAAGTCTTTCTCTTCAAGTCTGATTCATCTTTTTTCTGTCTGCTGAACCCCTCTGGTGAATGTTTCATTTCAGCTATGATACTGTCTGACTCCAAAGATTGAAAAATAGCTTTACTGATATTTTCTACATGGAAGGACATCATTCTAATATTTTTCAGTTATGATTTCCTTAAGTTTTTGAAACATGTGAAATAGCTGGTTGAAACTCTTTGTCTGGTCAGAGGAATAGCTGCGTTTCCATAAGGGCAGTTTCTATTGGCATAATGACTTAAACACTGGGTTGCTAACTGCTATATTGGCTGTTCAACCCACCCCCCCTACCGTGTTTCCCCGAAAGTAAGACATTCCCCGAAAATAAGACCTACTTACAGTTTTGCCTCTTGCTGAAATATAAGGTATCCCCCAAAAAATAAGACCTCCCCCAAAATAAGGCCTCCCTGATAATAAGGTCCCCCGAAGCCACCGTAACTCTGGACTCTGGACCATAGCGGCGGCACGCGCAGATCACTGTTGGCCACAGCGCAGCTGGAGCAGAAGGAAGTGCGAGGTCTCTTTTAATAAAACAATAAACAATAAATGTGTACCGTATTCATCTTCATGGAAAAATAAGACATCCCCTGAAAATAAGACCTAGTGCATCTTTGGGAGCAAAAATTAATATAAGACACTGTCTTATTTTCGGGGAAACAGGGTAGCAGCTCCACAGGAAAAAGATGTGGCTGGCTGCTTCCTAAAGATTGACAGTCTCAGAAACCCTAAGGGGCCATTCTAACCTGTCCTATAAGGTCACCATGAATCAGAATCAACTCGGTGGCAGTGAGTAAGGGTCATGCTTTCTTGTTGCTTTTGCATGTCTTAGATTATTTTTGTAGCTGTTATAAAAAGTGTCCACTGTAAACAAGACCATGTGGCAGCTCTGGGAATCTAATTCTCCCCTGCCCAGGATTTGTTGTGGTTACTGTTTGTTTTTGTTTTTTGTTTAGTGGTTTTTTTGAACCAGGTTTGTAAAATCTGTATTCATGGTCCTGTGTGCTCATTGAATTCTCTACCTGGTCAGCTGAATGGGTCATCTAACAATCAGACAGGGAATCCTTAAATGTCGAGAACCAGAAAGTCTCCTGGTCTTTGCTGAATGTCTCTGTATGCAGACTGGGGAACACCTTCACACTCAGCCAGCCACTGAGCAACTCTTCCTGAGTCTTCACTTCCTGCTTGTACAGAACCTCAAAGTCAGCCACAGGTGACCATTTGGGGCTTTTCGTGTCCTTTCTCTGCAAGGGCATGGCTTCTAAATTCTCAAGAATATCAGAGCCTGGGTGATGGTCTTAGCTCTCAGCTTTTCCTTTTAAACTTCGTTGGTTGGCCTTTTATTTGTCCCAACTGGTATCCACTGTCTCAGGAGATTGAGTATCAAATAATTGCCTCTAATTATCTTTTAACAATTGCCCCCAAGGCATTTCACATTGGAGTGAGCTCCTGTTGGTCTTCGTGGCCATCAACTCAATTCTGACTCATGATTACCCGCATGGACAGGGTCAAACTGTGCCACAGGATGGATGGTCAAGGCCCTGGTCTCTCCTAAGCAGATAACTAAGCCTGTGTGAAATGACCCTGAAACCATTTGCACCATCCAGGATTTCTTGTGTCAGCTCCTGGTCAGGTCAAATAAAGACAGTCCTGGGGACTTTTAGGGAAGCAGCAGACAGGTCACTTAGTGGCCGCTCGCGGGAATGGGACTTGGAAAGAGCTGTAGCTCAGTGCCAGCCCCTCCCGCCACTGACCGGCCGCTGTTTGACACTGTGGCTCTGTTTGCGAGGCTTTGGCAGGGGTGGGCAATGGGGAATGGGGACAGGACAAGTTTCAGCGACTCAGTACTATTTACGAGGAGCATCGAGTTTCTGTTTTGGTTGATGGAAACCATGGTAATGGGTAGTGGTGATGGTAGCACACCATGCTGAATGGAATTGTTGTTATCCTAACCCATAGCCAACGCCACGCGCCACAGACGGGAACACTGCCCGGCCCTGCGCCATTCTCACAGTTGTTCCTGTGTTTGAGCCAATTGTTGCAGCCACTGTGTTGATCCATCTCCTTGAGAACCTTCTTCTCTTTCAATGCTGAAGTTAGTTAATTGTGCCAGCCTGGCCAATAATCACATGTGGTGCTGGTTGAAAGGTGGAGGGATAAATGGGTGGTGAAGCCTCGCCTTTCTAGTTCTCGGGTCTCTTGTTTTGTGATGGTTGCATCGGGTGCAGCTGCCTTAGCAGTTCCCTGCTTCAGCTTGCAAGATGGATTTCCTACAAGACATCCCCAAGGAGAAGCCGCATGGATCTATCCCGATGCAGCCCTGGGTGCTGGAGCAGCCATGTGGAGACCCCTGCCAGTGCTGAGATGCGTACACGTTCACTGACTCAGCTTTCCTCCTGCAGTCGGCATTATTGCCTCTGTTTTGTGAGGTGGAGGACTTTGTGGACTGGTGTTGTTAATGGGTTAATGTTGGACTTGTGGGCTTGGGCAGCATTGGGTTGGGATGTTTTCGTGATGCACATTTTCTTTGCATAAAACTCTCTCTTATACGTGAGTTGCTGTGGATTTGTTTCTCCAAAGTACCTAGACTAATACAAATGCCCAGCTACTTTACCAAACATGGAGTCCTTCTCCAGGGACTGGTCTCTCCCCAAAACATGTGCAAAGTATATAAGGTGAAGTTTTCCCATCCTCGCTTCGAAGGAGCACGCTGGCTGGACTTCTTCCAAGACAAATCTAGTTTAGCAATCCATAGTACTTTCTTTTTTTCAATTTTTTTATAGTCCAAAGTATCTAAATCATTTATTTGAAGAGCTTTTCAAAAGGTACATTGACTACATCCCTACCTTATCTTTTTTTTTTTTAAGGTGTATGTGTTCCAGAAAAGATTTAAGATAGCAAAGCTATAACTCTTCTGGAGCTGATGTAATTTTCAGACCCGGAAATAAACCTTCACCAGAGCAAATTATTTTGTTCTCAAAATAGCAACAACATTGAGATCTTACAGATTAAGCCATTCTGGTGACTGCGGGGACACAAAGACAAAGATACTTGGTCCTCTTTCTGAATTAGCCCGGAGGTTACTGATTCCCGGGAGCAATGGGTCTCAGTCCTGAAAAAGGAAATGGCATAAATCACAAAAACGTCTTAAAGTCCACATATCTCTTGACTCCTTCTGGTGATTTGTGATACAACCACCTTCAGAAATAGGCAGGATTCAGCTACTTGTTCCAGTAAGGTATTTCCCCATAATCATTGATGGACGCCAAGGAAAAGTTTTCTCTTGGACCTCATATTCATTTTTTTCTGAAACAAAAATTCTTGTTTTACTGATTAGTTTTAATTTCAGAAATTACATTAGATATTTCTTATTTTCAAAATCCATCCTTTACAGAGAAGACAAGAAATTTCTGAAGTCCATCTTTGGGCTTTTGTGGGATTCTTGCTGACTGAGCAATATTTTTAGTTGAGAAAAGTGTTTCTTTGTTTTGCTCGTACTTCTTGAGGAAGAGAAAGTGGGTGTTGACTGTCCAGATGTAGGTGTTCTGAATATCCAGGCAGGGCTCTTGCCCTGGGAACTAGACAGCTCCTGGTTGCGGCTCGCAGGAGAACTCAGAGCCTTGCCCTTCCGTGTCCTCAGAGCAGGGTTAGCCGCAGGAGTGCCAAGCCTGCTCTTCAGGGAGGAGACAAAGCTTCTACTTTTACCTTGATGTTTAACTGTCCTGTTGCGTGTCTTACAAGTCACCAACAATACACTTTTGGCATCTTTGTACTTTTTCACAATTTTTGCTTCTTTACAACTGAGAGTGTAACTTTTTGCTTCTCGATTCAGAAGTTTCTGTATTTTGGGTGTCAGCTGGGGCTTCAGCTTGAGGTGCACTAGGGAGTTATCCAACACCAGCAACTGGAAACAGTATGGACAGGTTTCCTCAAAAGTGTCTTAGCATATTTTAAAAGCGATGGGTAACAATGATGAGAAATACAACTTTCCTCTAGTTCCTAAATGTTTCCTCCCCACTCCCACTACCATGACTCGAATTCGATCTTTCAAGTCTGGCTAGACCAGAGGAGGTACACTGGTACAGATAGGAACTGAAAATCCAGGGAATCCAGGACGGATGAGCCCTATAGGACCAGTGGTGTGAGTGGCAAAACAGGGAGGGTAAAGGGAGAATGGGTAGGAAAGAGGGAACCGATTACATGGAACTGTGTGTGACCTCCTCCCTGGGGGACAGACAACCGAAAAGTGGGTGAAGGGAGACGTCGGACAGGGCAAGATATGACAAAATACCCATTTATAAACTATCAAGGGCTCATGCGGGAGGGGGGAGCAGGGAGGGAGGGGGAAAATGAGGACCTAATGTCGGGGGTTTAAGTGGAGAGAAAATGTTTTGAGAAACGATGTACAAATGCGCTTTACACAATTGATGTGTGTATGGATTGGGATACCATTTGTATGATCCCCTAATAAAATGTTAAAAAAAAAAAAGCGATGGGGATCGCTGAAAAGCTGCTGAATGGTTTTATGAATGAATCGGATCAATGGCATTTCTCTTTGGAATCACTCCGATCACTGTACAGACGGAGGAGGCGGGCCGCGAACAGGGTGACGGTTCTCCCTACCATGTGATGAACTGTAGGCCCAGAGGAGATAGCGAGCTTGGCCCGGGCAGCTAGCTTGTAGTTTCTGCACCACAGCCTCAAGGTAGTGCTTCTCTCTCATAGTGGCCAGTGAGCGGTACTTTCAATATTCTTCTCCAGCACCACAATTCAAATATATTGATTCTTCTTAGGTCTTCCTTAGTATTCAACGTCCACCTTTCACATGCATATGAGGCGATTGAAAACACCAGGACATGAGTCCCCGGCACACCTTAGTTCTCAAAGTGACATCCTGTTTTTCAATACTCTCAAGAGGTCTTGTGCAGCCGATTTACCTAATGCAACCACCTTTGTTCTCTTGACTACATACAGCTTCCATGAGTATTGATTGTGGATCCAAGCAAGAAAAAGTCCTTGAAAACTTTCATTTTTTTCTCCATGTATCATGATATTCCCTATGGTCCAGTAGTGGGGATTTGGGTCTTCTTGACATTGAGTCGTCATCCACACTGAAGGCTGCCATCCTTGATCTTCATCAGCAAGTGCTTCAAGTCCTTCTTGCTTTCAGCAAACAAAGCTCTGCATATTGCAGGTTGTTAATAAGCCTTCCTCCAATCCTGATGTCACATTTTTCTTCAAATAAATCAGTTTCTCTGATGATTTGCTTAGCATACAGATTGAATAAATATGGTGAGTGGATACAACCCTGTCACACACCTTTCCTGATTGTAAACCATGCAGTAGTCCCTTGTTCTAGTCACATAACCGCCAACTGATTCATGTAGAAGTTCCACAGAAGCACAGCGAAGTGTTTGGAAATTCCCAGGCTTCTCAAGGCGATTCATAATGTATTATGGTCCACACAAGAGACTGTCTTGTCATTGTCAATAAAACACAAGTAAACATCTTTCTGGAGCCAAGATCTGCCTGACATCAGCGATGATATCCCTCGTTTCACTTCCTCTTCTGAATCCAGGCTGAACTTCTGGTAACTCCCTGCCAGTGTACTGCTCTCGTCGTTGTTGGATTATCTTCAGCAAAAATTCACTGACATGTGATATCAGGGATATTGTTCTTTCGGTTGAGTGCTCTGTTGGGGCATCTTTCTGTGGAATGGGAACACGTGGATCTCTTCTAGTCAGTTGACCCAGTAGCTGTTCTCCAAATTTCCCGGCATAGACGAGTGAGTGCTCCCAGTGCTTCATCGGCTTGTTGAAACATTTCAGTTGGAGTTCCATCAGTTCCTGGAGCCTTATTTTATCCTAATGTTTTCAGTGCAGCTAGAGCGTCTTCCTTTTGGCATCGTTTTCTGCTCCTGTGCTACCTCCTGAAACGGTAGAATGTGGCCTAGTTCTTTTGGGCAGAGTGATTCTGGGTATTGCCGTCTTCTTTCGATGTTTCCTGTGTCATTTAATATTTTGCTCATAGATTCCCTCAATATTTCAACGCGAGGCTGGAATTTTTTCTTTGCTCTTTCAGTTAAGATATGCTGTGTGTGTTCTTCTCGTTCGGATTTCTAAGTCCAGATCTTTGCTTATTTCATGATAATACTTGGCTTTGTCTTCTAGAGCTGCCCAATACTTGGCTTTGTCTTCTAGAGCTGCCCAATACTTGGCTTTGTCTTCTAGA